CTGTGTTAAAGTTTTAATTTGGCCCCTCTGCTTCACTTTCCCTTTAATTTCTTCTCTTTCGCATTTTCATGGCTGGCTGCATTTCTTGGTTTATCACAGTAAACCATGCAGAGGAAGAAGATTACTGCGCTGGAAGAACGGAGTTGTCTCCTCCCTTTTTGCCCCCAGGGCTTTCCTTTTCACATATACACTCATACCATTTTGAACATTATAAACCAATGTAGCCCAGGGTTATTCCTGCCTGGCATGATGATTTCTTGGCAAAATACCATACTGATGGAGGGGAGTGTTTATTTTGGGTGACTCTGGATTGAATCGAAGTGATGTGCACCTGTTTGCAATTCAAAGAACTCATCAATAGCCTGCCATATTATTTTGGGGGGTGGTAGCAAGTGGTTAGACTCAAAATAGTGTCCTCTAGAATAAAGCCACAGGAGAAAAAGAGGCCTGATTGAGAGGGGAATGATAAATCATTGAAGGCTGGCAGCCATTGCAGCTTGAGAAACGTTGGGGTCAGAGGTGCGGTAGATTGTGCTATTCCGGAAACAAAGCTCCGAATAGCAATTTCACTGCCTTTTAATTTTCTTCATCCTCAAGTGCTGAATGTGGGAGTTGACAACAGATTGCTGTAAATAATGTAATTGGAAATCTCTGTGTTATGGAAAAGCAGATGAATGCAAATAACGAAGCTGAAGAGTGCTTGCTCTTTCTCCCTGCCAGTGGTTTGCAGCGTGCCAGAGCCATGGTGGAGAGCTGGGACAAAGTGAGTGTGTGGGCATGTGCTGCGTGAGGGCAATGGCAATGGAGTCCTCCCAGGGTGATTGCATTTGCAGGTGCCTTTCTCTTCATTAGGCATTGTAGCCCAGGAGAACCTGCTCCCCCACCTTTCGGCTGCTCGGGGATTGAGCCAATAGCACTGGTGTCAGCATGGGAAGCAAAAGGTAGCTGTTTTCCTCTCGCACAGCCCAGCCTGGGCTGCTGCAGAATGAGAACAGCTACTGTGTGGCAAGCAGTAGGTGGTAGAACAAAATGTGGCTTTGCAGCGAAGAGCCTTTCCAAGCATCTCTGCTTGGGGGACTCATGGTTTGGTGAAGCGAACTCTGAGGGCGCTGCTGCAAGTGTTTGTTATGATTCCTTCAGCTGTGACCCCATCCCTTGGTCAGCAAGTCCTAATGTTTTCTCTGTTTAGGAGCTTGTTTTAGCACTTGTATGTTCAGAGAAGGAGAAAGAGAAGAGAGAAGTTTGAGCAGTAACATGTGTTTCACCAGGGCCCAGTGATTCTCCATTAGGTCCCATTTACAGGCTGCACTTGAATGTGCTAGATAAAAATACGCATCTGCTTCTGACTGTCTCATCCTGTAGCTATAATGATGGTTTGATGCAACTTTAATAGGAATATTATCATGGTTATAAAAGGCATTGAGCTCTCTGGACTTGTCATGGCCATGGCCATTAAATTGGTTTGAAGTAATAAAAAAAGCAGTCTGTTGCTGAAGTAGCTCTTTCTCCCTGTGTCCTCCCCCACTTTGCTTTAGGGTAGTTTAGGTGCCAGGGGAGGCAGAAGGATGGGAGCCTGAAGGAAGTCAGTATTTAGTGTGGATTTTGGTTGTGTTTGGCTGGGCCAGTTTGAGCGCAGTGGGCTGGGGACAGCTGCAGCTGGTGAACCGTGGTGTGGCTGCTCTGTCCTGAACCGCATGTTGGGCCACCACGTCCTGATCTGGGATAACGCAGATACAGATATTTATTCTCCTCTGTCAAGGACTCAGAGCAAGGGATGATCAACGTTACTTAAAATGGGGTTGTTGCAAGAGGCTGGAAGGGGCTGGCTGTCCCTTTTGCTGGTGAAATTCCAGCTCCACCCAAACTCAGGCTGCTGTGGGGGCCAGATTTCACCTTAGGTGCCAATGGGACTGGTGGGAGCAAAACTCTCTCCTCCTTGGAAAGAGCAAACTCCTGCTAATAAACAGGAGTTTTATTCTTGAAGTGCTGTTATAGATTTATTAATTTAAAATCAAGCAAGAACTTTGCTGTCGGGCCACTCTTGTGATCAATGAAACTACCATCAATAGGAGTCAGCAACATCGATTTGTTTTGATGCATGGACGCTAAAACTAACCTGTGTGCCCATGTGCAGAACAGAACGTGAACCGCAGTCGCTTCGGGTGGGGCACGCTGCTAACCTGGGGGGAGCAGAGGTACTAAATTAATATAGGGGAGAGCATCTTGCTGCAGCTATTTTAGGGCTGATTTCAAAACAATTTCAGCACTGCTGTAATGAGACCAAACTCTATTAGAAGCACCAATTTAAAGTGAATATGTATGCATAGATTCAATTTTATACTAGTATTACTACATCAGAGCTGGGTGCATTATATCATTAACTCTTTCTATAACTGGACTTGCTTTGGGGTAGTGAGAAACCTGGGGGTGACCAGCCTTTTCTTACAGCAATCCTTGCTGTGTCTGATTGGTTTTATGGTGTGCCTAAATTGTAGTTCGCCTGAAGATAATAGGTCTCTTCAGTGCTTCAAATTAAATTACAGATGTTGCAAGGTCTGTTCAGAGAACGACTGTAAGAAAGGGTTCCTTCGTCCCCAGCAGTCTTTCAACACCCCAAACACAGAGATTTTAGCTCTCTGTGTTGATGGCTCTGGGCTAGGAACTGGGCAACCTGCTGAGCAATCTCCTTCCATCAGTGAAATGGTGATGGTGGTGTCCTGCTTTTTGTGCCTGCATGAGAAGAACTTCTCCTGAGTGCCAGGTGTTGTCACTGCCCTCTGCTTTGATTAAGCCCTAAATGCAAATTGCAAACATATTGCTGTAATTAGGGATATCTGCATTTGCACCTGTTGCCATCATGGTGATACTATATGCAAAATGCTTTGGGAACTTGGAGTAGAAACACTGATGATCTCCTTTACTCTGAACAGAAGTGCAAGATTTCTACCCCCTTGCAGGAAATAGAAAATTATGTTTTTACTATATTAATTTATTTTTGCCCTGACTGTCTCATTAGCTCATTATTAGACTGCTGGAAGGCATAAAAGAATTAGATTTTTAGAGGCCATTTCTCCTTGTCTGAGCTGTCATCCTTTTCCCTTCATCTGGCTTGCATCAGGCTTTATATTAGATATACTTAATAGAGCTTCTTCATCATAAGCTGCATTAAAACTAAATTGGAGAGTAGAGGGTGTTCTTACAGGAGATATTACAGTTTAGCGCTCGTGGTCCGTTTCCTGCTGCAGGTTCAGATTATTTAAATGTTTTTGTTCTCGTTCTGGGTTTTTTAAGCACGCTCGTTAAATATCTGGCTTGGCCTGAATTGCTCTGTCAAATGAATGCCAAAGTTGTGCCATTTAGTACGGCACGAGGCAGCGTTTCTGCTGTCCTGGCATTGCTGCTTGCATCCCCCAGCTGCTGCTGGTCTTTTACTCCCTCAGAAGTGACGTGACCCAGACTGAGGGACCTGGCCCGGGAGGAGATACTTGTCAGGACTTTCTGCCCCTCCAGCCAGTGCAAGACTTGTTTTACTCCAAGCAAAGCATGTGCTTGGAGCTATTGCTACCCATGGCACGTGCTTGCTTTCTCTGGGAAGCTTTTCTTTTTGTAGATTCCCAATGGGAAAGCAACAGATGCAGAATCTGAACTGCCCGTTGCTTAGTGCAGGCCAGGGAACTTCATCCTGATATCCTTGTCATAAGCCTGGGAACATGTGTTTGACTCAAGCACGGCATCAGAGAAGCATCTAGTCTTGACCCAGAGAACATAAGAAGCTCCATGGTTTGCTTGATCACCCTCTGCTCCTCCTTCAGTCTGTGCCTGTTGCTCATTCAAATTTGTGATTTTTTTTTTAGTGGTGGAAGAAGGACCGAGGTGAAGCTGGGCTGACAATGTGTGGGGAGGAATTTGGGATGCTGCTGTAGTTGCAGAGTGCAGGGGAACCATTGGGCTCTGTGAGCTGGAAGGCTTGACACTCCCCCCC